CTGCTCTAGACAAATGTAATAATTTTCACAATAAAAAGGATAATTAAGAAATAGCGCAAAATTTAAATTAAATAAGCATAAAAACCAAATGTTTTTGATTGATAGAATAAACAAAAAGTTAATTTTTTCAACAGTTTTCAGTTCACTTTGTTAATTTACAGTTAATTAATTGTAAATGAATGAAGCAAATTCTTTTAAATAAAATGAATTAACAACTAGAAATATTAACGTTTCTTTGTATGTAAATAAAAATTTAAATTTTTTGATTGCTTGGAAAAACGTTTTGAAAACATCATAAAAGTTTAAATTAATTAAAATAGTTTTTGTAATGAGATTTTAGGAGTTATTAATTAGTAATTATAAAAATAATCACAAAATAAAAGTTTTTTTTTTTTTTAGCGATGGGGAGGGCATGTGATATTTCTCCATAAAAAACTAGGTTAAATTTATGGATTATTAAAAAATACCACAATATAAGATAGCTGAGATACTCAACATTTCTCAAAGCACAGTAAAGAGAGTGAAGCAAAAACTTGATTTTGATATAACCCAGGACTGACAGAAAAATTAGAAATGTTTGTTGCAACAAAGAATTTAAATTATTGACTAAGATTGTTAATGAACAGGGAATCCATATTTCCCAAAAAACAGTCCAGAGACGTCTTAAAGGATTTGATTTAACTTCACACCGGAAAGGACTTAAACCAAAGTTAACACTTATTATGGTGAAGAAACATCTAAACTAGGCAAAAAAATATAAAAACTTCACAATCTTTAATTGTAAAGTTTAACTTGAATTTGATATCTTTTTAAACCTTATTTATGTGTGTTTAAGGTTTTTTTTCCGATGAGAACATTTTTCAAGTTATGAGTGACAAAATCTATCTTTGTTAGGAGAAGAGTAGGTGAAAAACTTCACTCAGATTGATTGTGCTAACCCTAAAGCATCGCACATCTGTTATGGTGTGATCTTAAACTAATTTTCAAGGTACTGGAAGGCTGCATATAGTAAAAGGGACAAGACAAGATCAGGAAATTGTTAGTGATAGACTAATAGCACAATTATTCCCAAATAAAGAAAAATGCATTTTTATGTATGATGAGGCATTATGTCACAAGGTTAAAACCACTGCAAAGTTTTGGATTAGCCCAGAAATCATCTGTCTCGGATCAGCCCATAAATCATCTGGATTTAAATCTGATGGAGAACGTATGTGAACTGCTCAAGCGGGAAAAATTAACTGAAAAAGTTAGGTTTAGTGATGTACTTCAACATAATTTAAAATTGTTTTAACTAGTTTTTTTAATGGAAAATTGTATTGTTTTTAAAGTTGAAAACTAATATGTTAAAATTGTGTTTCTTTTTAGTGATTTTGAGCTTAGCTACTTGCATTTTTAGAAATGATTTTATTAGTTAAACATCTGTCAGATGTTTATCTTTTAAATCATTAACTAAGTGGTCAGACATGAAAACCTTCAAACTAAGAGTCAACTTGACAAAATCAGTTAAAGGTAATTTTAATTATGAATAATTATTAAGTTATTAAGTCTTTAACATTTAAAGTTATTGCAAATAATGATGTAATATATTCCTTTGTATCAAAATATTCTTTATACATTGTTATAATTGTTTTATGTTGCTAGCCAAGTCAAATTTTTAAATGGAGGATAATTAGTGTACTTTTAATTTATTTAATTTTTTGTGGCTAAAATTAAAATATTGTTACATTTTCATATATATTGTTTTAAGACAATGCTATAATAATTAGTTAATAGTTAAAAAAATAGTATGTGAAAAACTTTGACTTGCCAAAAGCCTATTTACAATCATCCTAACTTCTATTTTTAATTTCTATTTAAATTTCTATTCAAATAAAACATTTGATAAGAAAAATCAAAATTTGGTAACAGCGCTCAAAATAGTTTTTCAAAGCTTGCCGATAAAATGTAATTTTTTCACAAAAATAGGTAATTTTCCCTTGAATTTTTCAAAATTTCCCTAAAAATAGCCGATCATTGATCGTTGATCAGCCGTTTTTTCTAGCGCTGTTGTAATACTTATTTGTTCCAGAGATAAGGACCATGCTAAGCAATAATTCTAGTCTCTTTTTCGACAGATAATAAGGTTGTTATTAATGTGAAGATTATATTTATTTTTTAAGTTTTAAACTTTAAAGATTTATAAATAAGCTAAAAAAACCTTTTACATTTAAACAGTGTCAAAAGCATTTGACACTGTTAATCATGATATTCTAATAAAAAAACTAGAAATGTATGGAGTATTAAACAATAACTTACAATGGTTTAAAAGTTACCTTTCAAACAGGAAACAATACATAATATATACAGAAAATGAAGAAAAAAAACATATCATAACTTGTGGTGTTCCCCAGGGATCAATCTTAGGGCCCTTATTATTCATACTGTTCATTAATGATTTGTATTTAGCATCCAAAATTCTAAAGGTTATTTTGTTTGCTGATGACTCAAATCTTTTTTACTCTAACAGAAATATTAAAGATCTGTTTAGAATTTTTAATGAAGAGTTATTAAAAATATATGAATGGATTACGAATAATAAACTTTCATTAAATGTTGGGAAAACTAAATTTATGTTGTTCAACAAACCTAGTAAAGGTGATAACCTTTTTTTAAAACTACCTGATCTCTTTATGAACAAAAAAGTTATTAAAAGAGAGTCAACTATTAACTTTCTAGGAGTGATATTAGATGAAAATATATCATGGAAATATCATATTAGATCTATTGAAAATAAAATCTCCATAAATATTTCAATGCTATATAAAGTTAAACCTTTTCTTAATACGGAATCTTTAAAAATTATATATTTCTCATTTATTCATAGTTATCTTGCATGGGCAAGTACCAATTATGGGAAGCTCAAAAAAATTTATAGCAAACAAAAACATGCTTGTAGGATTATTTTTGGCGTTAACAGAACTGTTAATGGTGAATCTCTTTTAAAGAAACTTAATGTGCTTAATATTTACAAACTTAATATATACCAAGTTATGCTATTTACGTTTAAAACAAAACATGCGTTATCTCCTAATATATTTCAGTCTTACTTTACCGAAATATCTCATAAATATCCCACTAAATTTTCATCTGATAATTTTGTTATTCCAAGATCTTATTTAAAACTCAATTCATTTCAAGTTCAATACCGGGGACCATTTATATGGAAAGGTTTTTTAAAAAATATAATTAAAAATAAAATTCTTCGAGGCATCTCCTTAGAACAATTCAAAAGAGAATCTAAACGTTTTCTATTAGAAAAAACTTTCGATTTTAAAGATTTCTTCTAAAATTACCTAAAATAATTGAACCTGAAAAAGTCATCACTACTCATTTACTAATGTCTTGTGTATCTTGTTTATTTCTTATTAAAATAAAAAATATATATACTATTAATTTTGAACAGACAAATAACATTTATTCGATTTATTACTTGTGTCTTATATCTGTCGAACTAATATTGTATTGTACTTCAATTTTTAAGCTTTTAGTTTTTAACTTGTAACTTTGTGACGTTAATGTAAACGGGACTTGGCGATAAGACAGTTTATGTCTTCTTGACATAACTGACAGTTTATGTCTTCTTGCTCCGGCCAATTTTTATACATGAATGGTTTTTTCTCATTGTAAATTTAATTATACGGCAAAGAAAATATAATAATAATAATAAAATAAAATAGAATATTTTTTAAGTTTTGTGACATAAACTAATTTAACATATTTTTGAAGTTTTGAATTTTAAGAATTATTTTATTAGGCATTGATACAACAGACCAAAAAATTTTAATTGGTGCTGAGAAACACTAAAAAATTTTGCTGTCATCTGGCCATAGTAAAATGAAATAGTGGAATTTTAGTTTAATTATTTTTGGGAAATTTATATTTTTACCCTGCATTGGGCGTTTTGACATATGACCTTGTTGTCAGGTCAAAATTAACCTTAATTTCCATTTAAATATAAATAAATTTAAATAAAAAAAATAAAATAAAAAATAAATAAATAAAATGATCAAACTTTTTGGTTTTAACAAACAACGATTCATTGTTACAAAGAGTTGTTACAAAGTTAATAAAAAATTAATATTAATTATAAGTGCATGTTTTCATCCAATTTATATCAACTCCGAATTAAAATAAAACTTACTCAAATAAGAAAGCCTATTTGAAAAATATTTCAGATAGTATTTGCAATTTCTTTTTTTTTAATTTAAACTGTCAAGACCAATACACCTATCCAACACTTAAATTCTACTACTTTGCGCAGCGGGGACTGAACACTAATTATGTGGGTAAAAGTCGAAAAAACTTTTTAAATATCTGTATTTGAATTAGTATTTATTTGTATTTATCTCATCTTTTGAATTCAAGACAATAACAAGAGGTAACTGTACAGTAACAGGGTGTTCGAATAGCCATTATAAACTTTTGAAGTAGAAAAAACAGAAATGTATTGTTTTTTGTTTGTTTGTTTGTTTGTTTGTTTTTTTGTTTTTTTTTTGTAGTTATTTTAGGTGCTCCCAGAAGTCCTTACGGTCTTATCACAGAGCACCGCGGGAGAGTATTTAAAAGGAAGTTTACGCCTCCTTCTTTACCAATGTCGCTTGTTTGGGTAAGAGCTGGCGTTGAACCTTGCACCTCTGGATTCTGAGCCAGAACTCTTACCACTGCGCCACGGCTGCTCATGAAGCATGTCTCACGGCTGTTCATGAACCATGTCTCACGGCTGCTCGTGAAGTATGTCGCCACGGCTGCTCATGAAGCATGAAACCTTCATGAACATACTTCATGTTCATGAAGGTTTGAAAAAAGAACAATGTGGTTGTAATTGTCTTTTCAATCTTAACTGTTTTCCAAGTTCTTTAAGAAATTCTAGAGGAAGAGAAAAGTGAAAAATGTTATAAAAAAGGGAAAGTAAAAAGAAGAAAAGATGGAATCCATGCGACAGTGCCCGTTTATGTTCGATGCATTTTTTAGATGGAACACCTACCATTGCTAATCCAGATCCTACTTTAAATATGGGATATAATTCTACTAATATTAAGCCAAGAAAGAGTTTAAATAAAAGTTCCAAAGTCGAACTTTTTAATTTTGAAAGGTGTTAGCACAGAATATAATGACACAAATAATAATACAACTGAAGATAATACCAATGATTTATGCAGTAATAATAACGATAATGCAATTTATCTACCACCGCCAAGCTGTGAACACTCATATGCTAGCCAGTCTTTGCTAAATGTGTGTGAAGGATGTAATTCTAAAACATCTTTTATTGATTCTCTTGTTAAAAAAGTTAATTTTTTGAATATATCCTTGAAGCAACTAAACCAAAAACAAGTTAATCAAACTAAAAAATTTTTTCATACAACAAAGTTAAAACAGACAAAAAAATGAACTTTTATACAGGGATATCTACTTAAATAAAGCTTATTTAATGCCATCTTCTTACTAATTATACCATTTCTTCAAAAGCTTAGTTACTGGCGAAAAAAAAACAAAACATGTTCAGAATACTAGCAAATTAAAGCGCAGATTTCAGTCAATTAAATATAGAAAACATTTTCATTGTGACGAATTTGTTTTAACACTTATGCGATTTCGTCTTGGTATTCTTAATGAAGACATTGCAGAACAATTTGGAATTTCTGCTACTACTTCTTCTAACATATTTTCAACATGGATCAAAGTTATATGCAATGTGTTAGGTAGTGCTTTTATTTTATGGCTTCCACGTGAAAACATCAGGGAAAATTTGCCTAGGATTTTAAGAATGCAGGATATTACAAGTGTTGTGTGATTATTGATTGTGCTGAAGTTTTTATTAAACGACCCAAGTCTCTCTTAGCACAAGCCTCAACTTGGTCTGATTATAAACAACACAATACGTTTAAGTTTCTTGTAGGAATTTCGCTTAGTGGTTTTATTAATTTTTTATCTGATTGTTATGGTGGAGGATGTTCAGATAATTTCATAACAAAAGACAGTGGTTTTTATGACTTGTTAGAGCGTGACGATGACGCCATGGCAGATCGTGGATTTCGAATCCAGGAAGAACTTTTGTTAAGATTTTGTACTTTGATGACTCCTCCAGGTGCTCTTCTTAAAAGTCAAATGATTGCATCTGAATGTAAAAAAACTAAAAAAATAGCAAACTTAAGAATACACGTTGAAAAAGTAACTAATAGAATGAAAACTTAAAGAATTTTAAAGGATGTTTTTCCTCTAACAATGTTGCGTCATGTTGACGATATTGTGAGGGAATTTTTTAGAAGACTAAAAACCTGTGTTGGTCAATAATTCAAGAGATGGAAATATAAGACCTTAAAGTTGATAAATAGTAGTATTCAAGGAATGTGTTAGCACAGGAATTTGTACTAATACCTTTCAAAACTAAAAAGTTCAGTTTTGTACAGTTTTTTCTCAGTTTTTTATTTAAACTCCTTCTTGGCTTTATGTTAGCAATGGTAGGTGTTCCATTGACAAAATCCATTGAACATACGCAATCACTGTAGCATAGATTCCATTTTTTATTATTTTTACCTTCCCTTTTTAATAAAACTTTTTACTTTTCTCTTTCTCTAGAATTTTTTTTTTAATAACTTGGTAAAAAGTAAAGATTGAATGGAAGATTCAGGCCTTGCGATAAAGCGTCGGGCGATGTGAATTTTACGTCGTCCAAGAGCAATTTTGCGTGTAGCTAGGGCTATTTGCGTCGAGCAAAAAATTTTTTGTTTGAGTATATTTAAAGATATTTTTGAGCGGAATTTTAATGAAGTAATTTACGATTATTTTAACATTTAATAAAGTATTTTAAAAACCGCACTCTGTTGAAATAAAAGTTTGAATATAAAAAAATTAAATATGCTCATTATTTATTCAAAAAATTCAAAAATTAAAAAAAAAGTTTAAATCTTTTAAGCTAACATTTAATTAAAAATATTCAGCAATAGCAAAGTTGTCGATAAAATTGAACAAAAATACTTTCTTTTAGTTTTAGATTTTAAACTTAAATAATTATTTTACGGGGGTTTGTTAGGTTTTAAAATTATTCCATAGATTTAAAAATATTTATTAACTGTTAGATGTATTTAAAGTATTTAAGAGTAATTTCGAGGAAACATTTTAAAAATTGGTGAGGGCAAATAAAAAAATAAAAAAGGAATAATATTAAAACGTATTCTACTTGATTCAATAAAAAAGTACAGTTATTAAAATTTTTGTAAAAAGTAACTCAAAAAAATTACTTAAATAATAACGATCGCTTTTATGTTAAAAGTTACCGAAACTCAACGAAGCGTGCTCAAAAGCAGCTGCTGAAAAATAGAACGTCAATAGTTTTTCGAATAATTTTTAATAATAACTTTTAAGAATAATTTTTTCGCTGAAATATTTCTTTTAAACCTATAAGATTTTTATTCTAACATTTTATTTTATTTTACTAGAAATAAAATTCCTTGTTAACATTAAAAATTATTCAAAACGTTCGTTTAAGTTTTTTATTAATACGAGTGATTGTGCTTATCAACCGCTTTTTGAAAATAAATAAAAATAAATAAATATTATATAAAATCGCTTGTAAAAATATTAGCTATAAAATTTTCAGTTTATTACTCGCTGACTTTTTAAAAAGAAAAAATAACTATTTGAAAAACTTTAAATTACATATTTAAGAAAAAAAAAATCAAATATTAGCATATTTTATCTTTTTTAAATTTAAGTTATAATGTTTTTCATTCGTTTAGTATAGACAAAACGCGACAAACGTCGAGAAAATAAACAAATGTTTTTACATTTTAAAAAACGAAACATTCCAAAACAGTTTTAAATAATAACATTTCTACATAAACGATTTAAAGTAGTTTTGCGGTAATTAAGTAAATTGGTGCAGTTAATGTCGATAAATATGAAAAGCAAATAAAAAGAAATTAATGACGTCAAAAATCACGTCGTGCTTATGCGTCGCGCAGTTCTTATTCATCGCAAGGCCTGAAGATTACAACTGCATTGATCTTTTTTCAAATCTTCGTGAGTATTATATTCTTGTAATTGCATATGTTTCAAAAAAAAAAGGCTAATAAGTTTGATATGCGTTTTTTTCTCCAGCAAGTCTAGAGTCAGGAATCCCTCCCCTTCCTCTGTCTTTTCAAAGCAGGCTTAACACTTGTAGGATTTTGTTTAATTGCTAAAAAGGATTTTGTTTAGTTGCTAAAATCTTAAATTTTGTTTTGTTTTTGTTAGATAAACCACTGTTTTAGTTAATAATTTGAAATGTTTCTAAGTTAGTTAAGTGGTCATAACCTCCTAGGTGTCCATTTTAGAGGTATTTAGAACAATCATGTTTAGGGGTCATCCATGTATTACGTACGCAGCAAGAGGTTAGGTGTCCTAAGTTGTGTAATTTGCGTACGTTGGGGGTGGATGGGTGATGTTCAACAAATGTATGTACGCAAGCAAAAAAAATTGAGATGATCACCGCCCAAGTTCATGGCCTGCTAAGGTTATAAAAGTTAAACAGCGCAAAAAAATAGTGATCACGTTTGCAATCGTGATTGAAAAAAACAGCACAAAATTAGTTCTAAATAAATTAATATTATTGTTAACTTATTTCTAGAAATTAAACTTACTAATGTTTCAATTTTAAAAAGATAAAAACCATGGGAGGGGGGAGGGGGGAGGGGGTATGAAAATGTCATTTTGTCAAATAAAGATTCTTTACAAAAGACTGCGATGTTGAAGCCTATTTTGGCCTCCCTGGCCTAAACTTAAGAGCAACAAGTTGCACTTTCCAAGCCCCTTTCTGATACAGCACTAATAATTATACGTAACGAACTTAGGAAAAATTTACTTAAATTACTTTCCTAACAATATATCATGCTTACAGGTCCATAGGGAATATATTTTTTTATTATGCCGTAATTCCCACTTTAAACTTTAACAGTAGAGGCCCGTATCTTGAAATATTTTTGTGGGGAGGGGGGGAGGGCAAGGGGGAATTTTTAAAAAAAGAGCACTTTATAGTAGCAAATAAATATATTACTTGATTTTTTATAACAAAATTTATGCGATACAGAGGACAAGTGTTAGAAGGAGAGGGCAATTGCTACAAAAAGGGGCGTCAACCTCCCCGCACATTCGACCTCGAAATGCCTGGATTGATATTGGACAATCCTGGGATTTCGGGAATATAAAAAAGTAACAGCCATATAATATCGACACAACAATTTTTTCGATAAAACCATTGTTTCATTTGATCCTTTAGAATGTATTTAAGTTAGTTTACTTATAATATATATGGAATGTGTTATAAATAAAAAATTTTTAAAAATATATGTATATAAACAAAATTTTTGCAAAAATGTCATACGTTGCAACGTAATTTTTCAACAATTTCTTTAATTTTATAAATAAAATATTAGATAGTTGGTTATCTGAAGAGGACAGTATTAAACAATGATCAATGGTTTTCCCAATCATTCTCGCTTTCAGACATTTAAAATATATTGATGACACAAACCATAAACTGTGGTTGATTTAAATTTGAATAATCACATGTAGGCAGTTTACATAACAAGTTTAATCCAATTTATAATTATTCGACAAAGCTTAGTGTTGAATAAAAATTGTGCTCAAATAATATTTATAGTAATAGTCTATAAATTTACACTTGATTTCTTCCCATTTGTTATTGTCAAATTTTATATAATTAATCAAATTTCCATGTCCACACTATAAAATATGAATGATGGTGCCTTGTAACAGCCATTTGCACAAAACATTGTATATAATAGGCATGATTTTTGTTTAAAGAAATACCAACATCATTTTTAATCAAATATGGAAGTTTTACACTCGGATCAAGTGGGGAAAAGTAATTTATAGAAAATGCGCATTTAACTTCAAGACATGCAGGTGGATAACATAAACAAGTAACAATACGATCAGGACTACCGCCAATGAAGGGAATATCTCTATCTAAAAATAGTCTAGAATCATGCATTGCTACACCTTTATGATTGATATTAAAAATTTCATAAAAACAGTTAACAGCATTTCGTTCCATTTCCCTGCCATACTTAATTGCAGGTATGTTTAAATTAACGAATGACATGCCAGATATACGTTGATTTAATTCCCACATATCGGCATCAATTTTATTTAACTTGTTCATTTTTGTCTAAACATCATAACTTTTTGAAGCTGTTATAACATCTTTTCTATATTTATACCAGTACTGGTTATTATTTTGTCCTTTGGTCAACTGCTAAATTTCTTCAATATTTTTAAACGTCATATGAAGTGTTATATTTTTTTCAAATAATAATATATCTTTTGACATTACCAGTATATCATTAACACTCATTCAACATTAGATTTTATTGGTAAGTACTAATGTCGTTTACTACTTCCAAGCTAAAGTCAATATCTGGTTTAGGGATAATTAGGGGCTATTTCTTTTAACGCTTTTGCAACATCCTGAAGATTAAGTTTACTAGAATAATTAGAAATTGGATTAATTGGATACAAACTGTCTAGAATTGGTCTTTTTTTTGAGAAAAATTTTCTCTGAGAATGTTGAGAAAAATTTTCTCTGCTAAAACCTAGATTTTTAATTTTAACAGGTAAAACATCTTTTCGATTTGGAAGTCATTGTGCAAGCCGGATTTGTTAAGCCCATTTTTACAGCAGCTTCAATTCTAAACATTGCTGCAGCAACATGGTTACATATTTGACTCATTCCTGCCATACATGTACAGTGACAAGATCAGGTTTTTGCATTTTCTTTTTCTATAATTAACCACAGTTTAAGGCTTGTGTCATTAATACGTTGTGAATGTCTGCATTCACCTTTTATTGCACAAAATCGACTTTCCTTACTTAAACAGTGATATGCGAGTTTTTTAAGCCAGCCTGTTTTATAAAAACTAAAAGCTTTCGAATTTTTATAATCATTTAAGTCATTGCTGCCTATTTCAGATGAGTTAAACATCAAATAATTAAAAACATCTGGATACAAAACCGTTGGCTATTGTTTAATACTGTCCTCTTCAGATAACTAACCATCTAATAAGATAAAAGGATCACTGCATTTAACATTATCAATTAAAATTTTTTTTTGGTATTCATCTTTAAGTTGTTCGACTGCCTCAGTAGCAGTTAGTACAGGCTTAATAAAGTTTTCCATTGCAGAAAATACACGA